CATTTGCAGAGAGGAAAAGCTTTCCATTTGTAATGAAAACAGTGAGTTGGAAATACTCAGCAAATCTGGCAGCGTTTGTGGAGAGATGGTGCAGCACGGTTGCTCAGTGGTTAGCACTGCTCTCTTTCAACGCCAGGTACCTAGGTTTGATTCCACCCTCGGGCGACTGTCTGTGTGGAGTTTGTAGGTTCTCCCCGTGTCTGCACAGGTTTCCTCCGGGTGCTCCGATTTCCTCCCACAGTCCAAAGATGTGCAAGTTAGGTGGATTGTCTATGTTGAATTGCCCCATAGTGGCCGGAGGTGTGTAGGTTAGATGTGTTAGCCGTGGGAAATATTGGGTGATGGTTCTGTCTGTGTGTGATGCCCTTCGGAGGGTCAGTGTAGACTTGTTGGGCCGAATGGCCTGTTTCCGCACTGTAGGGACTCTGTGCTTCCAGACCTGAATATTTCTCTCATTTTCTGTTTTGGTACCACATTTCTCGCATTTGAAGTATTGTTGTTTTGTATTGAAGCTTTTCATTTCACTAAATTGATCAAGCGTAATCCCAGAAGTGAAATGACTTTAATCTGTTAAACTGTAGTTCCTTAACCTGCCACTTCCTTTTACTGAAACTAAACATTTAACAAAGCTGGAATAAGTCTGATAAGTGAGAAGCTTTCAAAAGTGTGATAACAAGAATTCAGAGCCATTATGTTCCTGTTAGAGTGAAAGGTCTCAAGAGCTCTGGTTCACAAACATCCATGCAGATGGTGGAATTTGAAGTCAATCAAAAAATCTAGAATTAAGAGTCTAATGATAACCTTGAATCTATTGTTGATTGTGAGAAAACTGATCTGGTTCACTAATGTCCGTTTTGGGATGCAAACTGCATCCTTACCTGGTCTGGACTACATGTGACTCCAGGTCCACAGCAATTTGACTCTTAACTACCCTCTGCCAGGAACATCCTCGTCCCATGAATAAAGATATTAAAAAAGAACTTAAGGCTGTTAGGATTGGAGAACAATTCTTAAATAAAGATTATTGAGGTTCTAGCCAAGAATAAAAATGAATCGTATATTAGATATAAACGACTGGGTTCAAATGAATCTCTTGAACAGTATAAAGAATGTAGGGGTATGCTTTAGAGGGAGATCAGGAAGGCAAAAGAGATGATATGAAATAACCTTGGCAAATACAGTTAATAATCCAAAGAGATTCTACAACTACATTAAGAGCAAGAGAGCGAGTAGGGCCCATTAAAGTTCAAAGAGGTCGCCTTAGTGTTGAACCTCAAGATGAAAAAGATATTAAATGAATACTTCACATCAGTTTTTACTGTGGAGAAAGAAATGGAGGCTAGAGAACTCAGAAATAAATATTGATATTTTGAAAACAGTTCATATTACAAAAGAGGATGTGCTGGAGGTCTTAGAAAATATAAAGATAGATAAATCTCCAGGACCTGATCCAGTGTATCCCAGGACATCATGGAAAATTAGGGAGGAAATTACAGTGCCCCTTGCAGAAGTATTTGTATCGTCCATTAATGCAGAATGACTGAAGAGTTGCTAATGTTGTGCCTTTGTTTAAGAAGGAATGTAAGGAGAAGCCTGGGAACTAAAGACCTGAGAGTCTGACTTCGGTGGTGGGTAAGTTGTTGAAAGTGATTCCGAAAGATAGGACTTGTATGCATTTGAGAGGCAAGGACTCATTAAGTTTAGCCAGCATGGTATTGTGCGATGGAAGTGATGTCCCACAAACTTGATTGAGTTTTTTGAGGAAGTAACCAAGAAGGTTGACGAGGGCAGAGCGGTAGACAGTGTTTACGTGGACTTTACGTGAACCTTTTGACAAGGTTCCACATGGTAGACTAATTGGTAAAGTTAGATCACATGGGATTCAGGGCAAGGTTGCTGATTGGATGCAACGTTGGCTTGTCGGCAAGAGACAGAATGATGGTGGGAGGTTGTTTTTTGGACTGCAGGCCTATGTCCAGCGGTGTTCCACATGGACCAGTGCTGGGTCCACTTTGTATAAATGGTTTAGGTGAAAATGGAGAAAGTATGGTCAGAATGTTTGTGGATGACACCAAGATTGGTGGTATAGTGGACAGTGAAGAAGGTTATCGAAGATTATGGAGAGCTCTTGATCAATTGGATCAATGGGCTGAAGAGTGGCAAATGGAGTTAAATTTGGATAAATGCAAGGTATTACATTTTGATAAAACAAACAAAGGCAAGACTTGTGCAATTAAAAATAGGGCCTTGGGAAATGTTGTAGAACAGAGACCTAGGGATTCAGTTACGTAATTCTTTGAAGTTTGCTTCACATATAGGTAGGGTGGTTAAGAAGGCATTTAGCACACTTGCCTTCGTTGCTCAGACCATTGAGTATAGGAGTTGGGATGTTATGTTGATGTTGTACAGGACTTTGGTGAGCTCCTCCCTTTAACAGGGAGACCAGAACTGCAAATTCAATGTCGGCGTTTGTCAGGAAGGCCAGTGCAATGTCGGCGTTTGTCAGGAAGGACTTGAATATAAAAGCAGAGATGTACTACTGAGGCTTTATAAGGCTCTTTTCTGGCCACATTTGGAGTATTGTATGCAGTTTTGCCCTGGAGGTTCAGAGAAGGTTCACGAGAATGGTCCCAGGAATGAAAAGCCTAACGTATGAGGAAAGTTTGAGGACTCTGGGGCTATACTCATTGGAGTTTAGAAGGATGAGGAGGGATCTAATTGAAACTTACAGAATACTGAATGGCCTGGACAGAGTGGATGTTGGAAAGATGCTTCCATTGGTAGGTGAGACTAGGACCTGAGGGCACAGCCTTTGAGTAAAGGGAAGACCTTTTAGAATGGAGATAAGGAGAAACGTCTTCAGCCAGAGAGTGGTGAATCTATGGAATCCACTGCCACAGAAGGCTGTGGAGGCCAGGTCATTGAGTACATTTAAGACTGAGATAGGTTCTTGATTATCAAGGGGATCAAGGGTTACGGGGAGAAAGCGGGAGAATGAGGTTGAGGAACTTATCAGCCATGATTGAATGGTGGAGCAGACCCGATGGGCCGAATGGCCTAATTTCTGCTCCTATATGTCTCATGGTCTTATGGTCTCTCTTCTTGAGTACTGCATCCAGTTCCGGTCTCCCTGTTAAAGGAAGGATATTGTTAAGCTAGGGATGGTTCAGAAGAGATATACCAGGATGTTGCCAGAAATGGAGGATTTAAGTTATAAGGAGAGGCTGGATAGACTGCAACTTTTTCACTAGAGCATATGAGGTTGAGCGGTGACCTTATAGGGGTTTATCAAATGATGAGGGGTATAGATAAGGTGAATGGCAGGTGTATTTTTCCTAGGGTGGAGGATTTCAAGGCAAGGAGGCATATTTTTAAGGTGAGAGGAGAAAGACTTTTTAAAACAAAAATGATATGTGAGGGCCGAAATATTTGCACAGTGTGCTTATGTGTGGAATGAACTTCCAGAGGAATTGGTGGTTGCAAGTAGAGTTACAATGTCTAAAAGACCTTTAGATAAGTATATGAATAAGAAATGCGCAGGCAGGTGGGACTAGTTTAGTTTGGGATTATGGTCGGCATGGACTAGTTGGACCGAAGGGTCTGTTTCTGTGCAGTGTGACTCTACGGCTCTGTACTTGGAAGTACAAATAGCAAAGAACAGGCCTTTCAGCTCTCCAAGCCTACACTGACAAGTTTTGCCCTTCCATGCTAAAACTATCTTCACTTACAGGATCCGTATCTCTGTATTCCCTTCTAATTCAAGCATTTGACCAGATGCGTCTTTAATGCTGCTATAGTATCTGCTTCCACCACCACCTCTGGCAACATGTTCCAAGCACTCGCCACCCTTTGTGAAAAACGTGACTTGCACATCTCTTTTCAACTTCCCCACAGCCCCCCACCACACACCTTGAACCTGTGTCCCCCAGTAATTAACCCCATCACCCTGGGAAAAAAACCTTATATGTTCCACTCTATCCATGCCATTCACAATCTTATAAATGTCTGTCAGGTCACCCCTCAACCTCCTGTGATCGAGTGAAAACAAACCCAGTCTATCCAACCTTTCTTCGTAGCTAACCCAGGCAACACCCTGGTAAACATTTTCTGTACCCTTTCCAAAGCATCCACATCCTTCTGGTAGTGTTGTGACCGGAACTGTACACAGTATTCCAAACGTGGCCTAACTAAGGTTCTGTAATGCTACAGCATAATTTGTCTATCCTTATACTCAATGTCCTTCCAATGAAGGCAAGCATGTCATAGGCCTTTTTTACTACCTTATCTACCTGCGCTTCCACCTTCAGTGATCGATGGACCTGCACATCCAGATCCCTCGGCACAGCAATACTCCTAAGGGTTCTGCCATTCACTAAAATTTCCAACTGTGCTTGACCTTCCGAAATGCATCACCGCACATTTGTCTGAATTAAACTCCATCTGCCTTTTTTCTGCCCATGCCTCCAACTGATCTATATCTTGCTGTATCCTCTGACAATCCTCCTCACTATCTGCAACTCCACCAATCTTTGTATTGTCCGCAAACTTATTAATTAGACCAGCTATATTTTCCACCAAATCTTTTATGTTTAAGCTAGTAAATCATTGAGACATCTGGTGTGAGAGATAGTGGGAACTGCTGATGCTGGAGAATCTGAGATAACAAGGTGTAGAGCTGGATGAACACAGAAGGCCGAGCAGCATCAGAGGGACAGGAAAGCTTACGTTTCGGTTCTGGACCCTTCTTCAGAAATGATTTCTGAAGAAGGGTCCAGACCCAAACTGTCAGCTTTCCTGCTCCTCTGATGCTGCCTGGCCTGCTGTGTTCATCCAGCTCTACACCTTGTTATCTCTAATAATCTAGTGTAACAGTTTTCTCAAATGAAGTGTGACGGTATATTTTATTAATAAATCTTTTCAATGCTGCTTTAAAAATTTATAGAGCCTTTATTGCAAATTTAAGCTCTGGAGCCTATAAATGTAGTTCTCTAAATTTCCAGGACTAATGGCAGAAACAGGGAGTGACATATATGAGGATCAGAAAGAAGACGTGCAAAATGAAGAAGAGAAACCAGAAGATGCAGAGTACCTAGAAGTCAGTGGCCATGACAGAGACGGTGGCAGCGGTTGCGAACCATTCTCCGATCAGAAGAAAGTTAAGCCCAAATCAGGAACTAAGCAAATCTTTACCTGCAGTGCATGTGGCAAGTCTTTTACGTTTAAATGTCGCCTCGAGCTGCATCTCACCCGCTGTCGCAGTATCGGTCACCTTAAAGCCATTAACTGCAAGGAAGGTGACAAGATCCAGACTTCCCAGAAAGATGAAGAAAAGCACAGATTCGAAACACACAGTGCACCAAAGGGAAAGAAGAGGCGATTTCCTGTGACTTGTGACATCTGTGGGAAATCTTTTGCTCATCAATCAGGTTAGAGGGGAGTTCTTTTATATAGTTGGTTGAGTCAGCAGTTACAAACCAGTTAGTGAAAATGCTTCAACTTCTGAAGGAAAACATTGACAGTGTAATAGAATAAAAATTAGGCAAAATATTGAATGCATATTTTCTAGAAGTATTAACTGTTGAGGATGCTCCTATTTAATAGTTACACTATACTCGAAATCTTAAGAGGGCTTAAGGGCCTGTGTGAAAACAGAGAATAGGGGCCTAACGAATCATCTGGGCCATGTTAATTTATGTCCTAAGATGGACACAGACCTGGGAGGGAGCATGTGAGACTAGTTGTTGTCCTGCAGCAATCTTTCTGACAGTTGCTGAGATTATGCAGAACTAAGCAAATGTTTCAATGATATTGTGAAACTGAGCTGTCAACCACAAGTCAAATATCTCAAAATTCAACAGCTTGTGCGCAACTTAGCTCAAAATGCATGGGGGTGGAGGGTAAATGAGCCCCTATAATCCCCAAATCCCAGATAATTCACTGAAGGAGGAAAGGAGTAGAAATGGGAAATGAGGCAGGAAAATATATCTGTGAGCAAGTTCAGGGAAGGAAGCCTGGGAAAAAGACTATTGGCTGAGAGGGAAATGAGGCTGCAAGGTTGAAAGAAATAATCTGCAGGAGTGAGGGGAGGGCAAGTTGAAAAGAGCGAGCAAGGGTTGCTACAAAGGGTAGAAACTTGTTTTAGACTTTTCAGCAAAGGAATATTCACCAAATGGGAACAGGAAAACTGAGTTAATGATTTCCTTTCAACTTCATCTGGAGTCTCCAGGTTAAATCTGTAGGAGTTCAGGACCTACTCTATTGGATGGGGTGAGGGGTGGTGTGGTGTGAGGGGAAGAGAAATGTTGTGAATGGGGTTGTAGTACACACTTTGAATTGTATAATATTGAACAGATATTAATCTTTCAGAAAGATTTGCATTTATGTGTTCTCACATCTTAAAGCGTCTTACGTACGATGAGCTAATAACGCAGTGTTAAATTAGAGACAAACATGCAGTGGTTTCACTGACCCCACCAGTCCATAGCATGTGTGTTTACAATTATGTCATTTTGTGTATGGAAGTATGTCAGTTATGTGTTGAAGCACATCTGCTAACTTATGCCTGTTGTCTTGAACCAGTTTCAAAACTGTGGTGTCTAGGAAATTAATGCTTTCCTTGTGAGTTGTGGTTTTAAGTTAAAAGGAGCAGTGATTATTATTGGGAATACTGCTGAATTCTTCTAATTCTGCTTCAGTGTGAATCCAAATCCCCATAGATCAACACAAATGCAGAAGATATTGTTACTAAATGACTGTCAGTTAATGAAATCCTTTGGTGAGATTATGAAAGGAATTCCTGAAAATCTCAAAGTAGCCTTCGAGAAATCTCAGAGCCTTCAAGAAAATAATATTTTGAACCCTGGTGCACCAGCAAGATTTCCAATGGCTAAGCAAACTTCAGAACCAGCCCTCCATTGGTGATGCAGTTCGAAGAAGCACAGTATACAAGAGACTTTGAAACCTGTTTCGCCATTATAATTTTATAATCGATCTACTGCTTGGCGGTTCAGAATGTGAATTGTTATTCACTTACATCCCTCATCAATCCTTCCATATTCTACTCGACCTCGTGTATGTTCCCATTCCTATACATTATTTCATTGCTATCCCTCACCCTTCTCCGTTGCCATCCCATGATTCTCCCCAAGGTGTGGTTTGGAGGGATGCAGGTGACACCAGCAGATACTATTCATTGCCTATCCCTGTGTGCCCCAAGAACATTAATAATCGACCACATTGTGTAGAATTGGAGTCGCAGACAGATTAGACCAGGAGGACCACAGGATCCCTGCTCTGAAGAACTTGTGATAAACCAGTTAGCATGTCCCAATGAATGATCACCAACTTCCACAGCCATTCATTGGTGTTAGCCCACAAATCACCCTATTTATAAAATTCACTTTCACAGTTTTCAATACTAGAATTTTAACTCATGACTTCCTGAACGATTGTAGCATGACCATTAAGCTATCATATCCTTTTGGGGGGGAAAAACTGGCAGCTAAGAGTTCCAAAGTGACTGCCTGCTCTGTTATATTTCTATCAATGTCTCTCTTTGCAGGAATGCAGTATCATAAACGTTCTGATCACTTCGATGAGAAACCTTTCTCTTGTAGTGAGTGTGGGGCAAAGTTTGCAGCAAATTCCACCCTAAAGAATCACATGAGGCTGCACACTGGAGAGAAACCATTCTTCTGCAAGCATTGTGAAATGACTTTTATGCAGGCTGCTGCATTGGCCTATCATATGAAAAAAAAGCACTCTGAAGGTATGAACTGTGGTACCACTTTGCTGTAAATTTGTCACTTTCTTGATTTTTATTTGCTGAATTTTAATGGCATCATAGTGCACTTGATAGTTCTATCTACGGTTTCATATTTAGAATTGACTGTATTGACTTTCATCTTTACTTGTCAGAGTCAAAAGTCTCCCATGCAAATGGGGCATCGTCCAAAGAATCAATTGGGAGAAAAGCTGAGTCAAGAAATGATCATAAGACATAAAACAGACCAGATAATTGGTGCACACACTTTAAATTACAAGAGCTCAGCTTGTTTATAAAGATGGTTTAATTGAACAAAAGAATATTAGTTAAAGATTGAGGAATACAATGCATTTTTGCAAACATAATAAGAGAAAGAGGATATATTAACAAGTCCAATTAAGAAGCAAATCTGAAAGTAACAGGAAAAAATGATCAGCAACTTACATTTTATTAAAGGCACTGTATAATTATCCAAAGGCACTTCCCCAAGCCGCTATGAAAACAAAATTATTCAAGCAGATCACCAAAAGCTTGGTCAAACAAGTTGTTTTAACTAGTATCTGAAAGGAGGAAAGCAAGATAGAGAGGAGGTGATTTTTAAGGAGTGAATTCCAGAGCTGAAGGTGTGGCTACCACTGGTGGAGTATTTTGAATTGGAAGTTCTCAAAGAAACTGGGTTAGAGGAGAGCAGATATTCCAGAGGATCATGGAGCTGGAGAAGCCTTAAAAAAAAAAAAAAATGTGACAACGTCATTTGAAAACATGAAAGAAAATTTTAAGATCAAGGGAGCCTGCGAGCACAGGAGTGTTGGATGAATGAAATTTGGCACTAATAGGACTTGGGTAGCAGATTTCGGAAGGCCTCAAGTTTCTAAAGGGACGAATGTGAGAGGCTGGCCAGTGCTGCATTAGATCAGTCAAGTCAGGAGATATCAAGTGCCTTAATGAGGATTTCGGCAGCAGAAGAGCAGAGTTGAACTGTGTTACAGAGGTGCACGTAAATGTTCTTTGTGACAATGCAGTTGAAATCTCATGTCTGTCAAATATGACACCAAAGTTGAGCTATCTGGTTCAGTCTCGGACCATTGCCAGGTGTGAAGTTGATGGCTACTAACTCCAGTTTGTGATGACGATGACCAAAGATGTTGGCCTCAGTTGTCCCACAATTCATTTAGGGGAAATTTCTGTTAATCCAGGAAAAATTCTGGAAATTACATAAGAAGTCTGATAGTTTAAAAACATTGGAGAGATCACGAGATGGTGCCAGAAAATGCTAGGTGCCCAACAGCACGCACTTCAAAGCTGACATGCCTTAGCTGATGTTGCTGAGATGCAGTGTATAACAGAATGTAGTACTAGTTAATAAAACAAAATGGGTGATGAGGAAGCTAATGAGATTAGGGATCAGGAAATAGTCATAATATGAAAGTTTTCACTCCAACAAAGGTAGATGTGTAAATTGTCAATGCTGTAGTAACTATACATGTTTGAGGTACTGTGGGCCAGCAACAGAATTGTATTTGATCACAGCCTGTAATTTTACAGTCTGACATAGCCCATACTCCATCATCAAACTGAAGAATCAGTCCGAGTTCAGTGAAGGACACAGGATGGCATTCGAGGAGCAATACCTGACCAATATTCCCTCCAAGCTGCACAGTCATGCGGTTGATGTGACTTTCCGTGCATGTTGATCAGTCTGCGAATGCACTGACTTCCGGTTTTGGAAGCTGATGCCATGCACAGACCTTGCAAAAAAAAAACTGAAGGAGTATTGCACCAGACATAGCTAGAAATGAGATGTCAACCTGGCGAACTTACAAAACAGAACTGCTTGCATGTCAAACTATGATGTATCGTTCGATTGAAGGAGCTCATTAATCCCGCAACCAATGGATCAGATCAAACCTCCTCAGTTCTTCCACACTGTGCTGCAGAAGGTAGGGACCACTAAACAGTTAATTGAAGGAGTGGGCTCTACAAGTATCCCCATCTTTAACAAAGGGCAAGCCCAGCACATCAGCATAAACATAGTATTTGTGCA